TTATCACTTCCCGGTTGCCCACACCGTGGAAGGGTTCTTCTGGAGGTACCTGGAAAAGAAGTTGGATTAAAGGTGCTCTTAGTGGCCTGAGAGCGTGACCGCAGTGCCCAAGGGACAACTGTTTGAGGTCGGTCACACACAACCTTTTTGTGGGTAATTTTCTTGTTAGCTCTGTACGTGTTGAGACCTTACCGCCGGAGACGGATATCTATGGGATAAGGAGAGGTGTGCATTTTTAAGGTCGATCTTTTCTAACCCCACCTCTCCTTGTGGGAAGATAGCATCGCTGTTATGTTGGTTGTCTGAAGGAAACACCTTACTGCCATCACACCTCTGTACAGTCAGTAGTACGACTTCGCCCTCAGACCTTGGGTTTTCTGCTTTTAGTCTTATCTCTCTTCAACCGACCTGTTTGGCATGGTAGGACCTTTAAGAACAATTGTTCCAGACAGTATAGCTCGATTGGTTTGCTATTGTTGCTAAGATAAAAAATGCCGGGTATGTCAGCCTCTCGTCTGCGATTTGAGAATCTGCAGTGGCATTGGACAATAACCACACAATCTTCAAAATAGATATTCAATATTTAACGCGGAGAAATAACTAACGATGGAGAAGGCGCTATAAAGAATGAATTAAATGAATTAGAGTTGATCGAATGGCATGGCGCGGTCATGAAGCCGTGGTACCTGCTGAATTTTACCTTATATCTTTTATTCATATTAAATATATTGTTCTTTCTCTAGCCTAAGCTTATTTTTCATCATGTATTGGTAGTTGTTACGATACAGTGAGTTGGTGTAGACGATGATGTGACTTCCACGTAAGATCTTATAGATTAGGCAGTTATATCATGACAAATTTACAATTTTAGGATTAGGTCTATTATTAGAGCAGCACTAATTCACTAATTCCATTGCAGACAGCCTCTCTGAAACCTGTTTATGCTCCACGAAACCTCATTTTAAATTTGTAAGGTTCCATATCGTTAGTGACGGTTTGTCAATAGTCAAACTGATAATATGTTATTTAATGACCATGATGGACTTTAAGTGTGAATAAAATTGCCAACTAAGATTTCACGTTTGAAAACGTGAAAAAATCAAAATCGGAGTTATGTGCAATTGAAATAAGCTAAAACTACTATTTTGTCCTCAAAAACTGTAAACGCCGTATAGAAAGCCATTGTTGTTAAATGCAACTGGGAAAAAATGATCTAACGAATGTTGAGCTCAAAACAAGGTTTTTGAATTAAAATTATTACTTTTTTTGTATATGAAGTGACCATGCCAATCTATTACTAATGACGGGAAATATTCGTTTTCTACTATCAAGTTGAAGTATTCAACCTCCTCAAGAGGCACAGATTGCATCTCCTTTTGCTGGAAGATAGCAAAAACAAAAAATCTGACAACCGTGAGCCACTGTTAGGTTGATCTGTGTGTCCGAACCAGATTTTTTAGTTGCTTCAACCGCTATACAGGCACATACATTCACTTACAAACTCAGGACTTGCATAAAAGTTACTGTATACCTGAGAATTTGATTGCTAGGATGGTCAAAGGCGGTTTTACGGTTTTGAGTGTTTTCTAGACTTTATCTTTGTGTACCGTATATTCCATCACTTTTTTTATTCTTCCCTTTCGAAACTTTCATCATGTATACATTAATTGTCCAACATTCCACCTTTTAGTCTGTTTAGTAGAATACTCAGTAGAATACATCAGTACTTACACTATAACTACAAGGACGGCTATCGGAGGTCTTAATTCAGGGGCAGATAGGTCGGAGACCCCTATATCTAGTAAGTGGGTTATAAAACAGTTCAAAACTGCTACAAATAATGAATATCAAAGTAACTTTTACTACGTGTATTATAAGACTTAGGTAACAAAACCTAGTATCCAGCTAAACAATTAAGATCATGCTCCTTCTCAGATTCTTACTCTTACTAAGACTAGTATGTAAAAGAGAAATAGGACGAGTGGTATAAACCCCCTGTGAAACAGGAGGAACGATACGTTAACGATAATTTTACCGCATGCCTGTCTCTAGTCAAACCAAGGATTCAGCATTTGAGTGTAATTTCTGTGGTCTCTAGATGTATTGTCATTGTGATGCTACAGTACTTAGGCTGTACTACAGGTATGATATGACCTACTTTTATCGAGAGAACGCGATTGGTTTAATGGAAACAATTGTTATTATAACCAATTGTACCAGTGATTGTTTTACTGTACTTGTTTGTTTGACTGTACTAGAGACATTCTTCCTTCCGTTGATTGTGACCTTGCACGCGCCTACGTTTGTTCAGTGATTCCGCCTGTACTCTTTTGGCACTATCTTGGTATTCTTTCGATACCACGAGATCGCCAACAAATATATCTCGTTACAACCTCCGATCACCTTCTGATATCTGGTACGCAACCTTATTGTAGTGGTGGTCATAATCGACCGCGTCTTGACGCCACACTACAGGTTCATGTTAAGTTATGCTTGTTCATAGTTCTGCAACGTGTGCCCACTATGTAGAAAGAATATACAGTAAAAATATTCTTCTATTAAAGACATTCGTGGAACTTCCCACTAGTATACCCGGTCAGTCCAACACATATCAAACTAAACTTGTCACTATGAGAGCCACAACCCGAAGTAGCACAAACATCGAATAGTCGGACATTCCATTTACTTCAGTCACTGTCAGTGTTAACGAGCACCTAGTGAATGATAAAAAGGAATATGGCGGCAAAACAGCCCCGGATAGCTAAAATCGATGATAGAGACGTCAGACATGATTTGCTGACCTCACTTAGTGTCCCAGTGTCAGAGGGTAGTTTAATGGAATGTATGACAGGCTTTGGTAAAGAATGGTGGGGCAAATACTGCGAATGAACGCCAATCCAAACAAACTCCGACGCTTGTATAAAGGCCGAAATGCAACAGAAAGTAAACCTCTTCCACTAGGGTAGCTTTAAAATCAACATAAGTCAAAGAATTCTCACTGGTGTTTGAGGACCATCTATTGAATAGTCTCCTTAAATCCAAAATGGAAATGACAAGTTGTGGCGCTAGATTGACGACATTGGGTCGCCAACAACCCCCAAGGACTGGTCAAAATAGTGGTTCATGGAAGCTCTGAGATGGCACGTGGCAACCTGAGTGAGGTAAAACGCGTAAAATGCAACAGTAATGATGACCGTCAAATAGCCTGTCTTAACACTACCACGGCAATTATCATATATCTGCTTCTTCTTCCCTCGCATCTCACGACCATTATGTCTTCCCATTTAGTGGTTATGAACTTCAAAAACCGAGAAAACCTAAATGGCGTTGTTAATAATTGTTACAGCTTGAATTACCCGGCAATATTACATTTTGTGAAAGCAGACCTGCATCGGCAAGGCAGTATCTTGAAAGACGAATAGAATAAATCTTCGTGCCCATTGACATTAGTGGTCAACCCACGCTGTAGGGCACAGAGGCCACTGGCTCGCCGACTTTAAATAGAAGTTTGTTTTCAAAATCCAGAGAAGATATAGTGCTCTTTATGAGGTGTCATGTGATTAGAAAACACAACGGACTCCCTGTATAGCAGCGTAAGGAGAATAAGGGGTAATTAAGAGGGATCAGAAATATTTTTTCGCAGTTGATCGGAAAGATAGAAGTGATAAATGAAATGTGGCCCACTCCCGAGAACACGATGATGAAATGAGCACGCATGATATGATACTGTTTCGACGTGATAACGTGCAGAAAAATGTAGGGAGAGTGATGACCTACACTAACAATAATTTTTAAGTAACAGGACGACACAACAAAATAACCGGTGTGACAGAATCATATAGGTGTTATTTTATTGAGAACGGAACCAAGTTCTTGATTGAAAAGATATGCCAGGCCCTCAGCGGTACTAACACTCAGTACAGTAATCAAGGAGCTGTTAAAGATGCCACACCTGAGTTCGACCTGACACTCCTGGCCTGAAAACTCAACACTCTGTCCATGAATCTCGTAAAACAGGATGAAACACATCGAAGGTTGTTTCATAAGCGACTTATCACAGGTATTATAATGAAGGTGCCACAGGTATTTGGAGTTTGACAACGCTTTGACCCGTAACATCTAATATGAAGCGTACTCACCAGGTGAAATCAGAAGACAGAAGCGAGGAGGTTCGAAGATATATTTGATAGGCTATCAATATATCGTCCGATCTAATCTGGCTAGCGATTGAAGAGGTTGTTGAACACGGTGTTCCCACTCGTGGTCTGGTGCGAATGCATGACCGAGCGCCTTCAGCTAAGTGAGTCCATTAAAACATGTGGTCAGCATCTAATGTCGGAAACTTATTAAGCTATTTATTTTGTGGATTCGTTTACCACTACAATAAGTTCAAAACTGATTAAATATGTGAATGGTGGAAAACCCTCAAAATTAGGCTTTTTACAAACAAATAGTCAGCCTCGAGTTAGAGATTTCCATTCCCAGGAATAAATAGAGAGGAATGGCAACGTAATATATATAAAGCCTGGTGACAAAATAATCAGTCAAAGTGATCACTGCCTCATACCACTTACTTATTCCAACTTTATTTGTTTGTCGTCTCTGTTTCTTGTTTTTGATCTTACGTTTCGGTCACCTAACGTCGGACGACCGGATAATGAACCCTTTTCTTTAGCTCTTGAAACAATCGTCTCGCTCCAATATTTTTCGCATTACAACCAACATACGTCCGACTGATAATATAAGAAACACGAGATCCAAAAACACTACTACGTCGAGAAAATGTAGACGAAAATATCACAAGGTAAACAAATTCACATATATCTAAGTTGTTACAGTTAGTGTAATGTCGATGTTGTACTGTACACTCAATCGAAAATTTTAAAGTACCTAAAGTTTCTTTGAAAAATATAGAGGAAAAAACGAATTGATTAGCACAAGTTCGTGACATGGTTATTAACAATTGAATGGTAGAGTTTTGTTTTAATTTACCAACAAGATATCGAATGGCTGAGATCATAGACGCTCACAAATTGAAGCGGCGTGGTCAGCAATAACGTGTTGCTGGGGCTGGTGTTCGATACGTCGTACGTTTTTAGCGTCTAATAAAGTCATCTCTTTATTACTTCTACTAGTTCTGTGGATTTAAAGTAGTTCGTTTCTCGACGTTGGCAATGATAAATATTAACACAAGATCAGGTAATTACACATTGACTTGTTATATTCTTAGTTCTACGACCTGAGTACCTATATCACTCTTTCAACTTTTCTGCTCCGTCTACCCTCAGAACTTATGATGGCATCTCAAGTAAGATTAACACAAATACTGCACCTGTCTATCGCCTAGAGGGCAAATCACACCTTAAAAGGTTACGTCCTGATAATAAACGAGGTAAGTGCTATAAAGTGATTACTCATATCCTCTAAAGTTCATCCATATAAAAAGCCCTGTGGCAATTATGCAACTAGCACAACCAACTTACCGGACCAATTACTATGGCCTGGAACTTCGAACAAATCAGACTCGTCCGATTCCGAAGTTGTTTCTCCAGAAAATTCTTCTTCTCCATCCTTATCGTATGTGTCAAGGTATTCATCTGAATCTACATCGCAAAGCTTTGATCCTAAATCTCATGTAAATGATGTTCAGTCCATTCGAGAAGGCAACACATCACATCCTAGGTCGCATAGTCATGGTCAGGCCGAACAAATCCGAAGATCGCGTGAATCCATTACGTTTGCTCTTATCGATGCACAATTATCAATACCACCTCTCAGTCAAGTTAGAGATATGTACCTGCAAACTCGAAGTGGTTGTGGAACATCAAACTCTACTGCACGAACTACTAAGAAAGCGAATTTATCTGTTGTTCACACGGTTGTCCGTTTCAGGATTAAGGAATATCTAATTGAGTTGCGTGAACATATACGCCGTTCGCTCGACACCTTGTTCTACAATTTAGTTGAGAACTATGACGCTAAGTCCAGAGACACTTTGGCCACTGAAATCCTTGGATTACCCAGTCGTTTATGTTCACCTGATTGTGACTTCTGCTCAGATTTACTACCAAGAAATGAGCGTTGCCGAACTCAAAGTTATGATTCCAATCGACCAAACAAATATCCATCTCAGCTACTTGCACAAATGTCCAGCACTAGTCGTTCACCGAGTCCTTTATCAACCAGACCACAGATATCCATATCTTTGCCAACTAATGAAACACTTCGCTCTCAGACTCCTCCCGATTCAGCCTCATATGTGGGATCCGATAATGAAGTGCTTCCAGATGTTAAACCTGTAGAAAGTTGTCTTAGTGATAATACTAATGCAATTCTCAACACCAGATTAAACCAGTCTTTATTTCTAGATTCATCTTCTGTGTTAGAGAGACCATTGCCATCTTACCACATTAACGTTTTCGATTCTCGGAATCACAAGCGCGTCAGACTAGATAGTACTTCGCTTCGCCTCTCCAATGAATTTGATTATACAGATTGGACTGCAGATGATATTGATTTCGGTCCGTGCGGAGAAGAACTTGTTGATCTACACTCCTTAGTTTTTGATTCAAGCTCCGATGTCCCATCCAAGCTTGATGAGACTTTCTTTGACCCCGCATATGACGTCGGTGATCTAATGCATCACTTCACGATGGACAAATACCACAGTTTTCAGCTTGCTATAAGTCCATAAACACGTGCCTCTTATGTACAGATACTATCATGCATGCTTTTTTTCCCTTGGCCATTGTACTTCCTATTTTTCTGCTCGTTGATTTTCTTCATTCCACCTCGACTTTGTACATAAATACTGATAAAACACTCATTTTGTTTAACTTTTGCAGATTATATACTATCACATTGGTTTTTTTCTATATATTTGCCATAAAGGTTTTGCACATGGCTATTAGTCGCTATTGTGTACAATTTTCCAGCTGGGTGGATCAGTAGTGTTTTTGTAATTTCGAATATTTCGTTTATTCTGCAGACAAATATAATGCGTACATGTTTTTAAACACTTCCTTCTTTAATGTGATAGCCGCTGTTGACATTCGGTCAACTATCGTACTTTATGTATTCGAGCACTGTCTAGTCGTGTCTTATATCGGGTTACATGTAGTGTTACTGTTCGCTTATGTTTCTCAATGTAAACCTTGTAAGCTAGAAAGGAATTGAATTTTCCTCCTAACGTTCACATTAGTGATTTCCGATTCAAATCTCTTAAGCATGCTCAATAATTAAACGATTTACTGCGTAGTTCCAGTGATGGTTGTGAAATATTCTTTTCTAACATTATCTTATAATTCTCAATATAGAAGAAAAACGTTAAGTTGGCTAGCAGTAGACTGTCCGTAACGTATTGGTAATGTCTTCGCTCACAGTGTTTGTCCGAAAGACAACGCTTCTAAGTATCACAACGTTATCATGTAGTGTCAATAATTAATGTCATTATTGAGAACTATATTAATAAAATTGAGTTGTGGTCAAGTGTTACGTTATTTCATGGTTATTCGCGCAATATTGAGAACATTCACTGTAAGTAACTGGTTTCAATGGGTGTTCTATTATATAAGTTCGTTTTGGTTTTTCACTACAGAGTGATACATTGGGTACGCAGTCCTTTGGTATTGAACTGAATGCAGGCGATTTCATCGCCTTATTTCACATTCTCTTAGGTTAGTTCGGATGAATGATGTTAATCTACCCATTCTGGTGAATGTAATGTCATCCCATACCGGCCTGTATCGTGAGTCTTGAACCCTGAAGATCATCTATTTAAAGGCAGTTATTTTCTATGGTTAGAAGTTTCACTTATGTTCACATTTAAACTCTGATACATGCTGATTGAAGTTACCAGTTCACACCGAAAAATGCGTGTCTAAAAATCTATATTCAGTTTAACCACTACCGAGTAGATGACATTGTTCAAATGAATCTTAGTCTTCAGTTTTTTGTGCACTGGTGCCATTAACTAAGTTCTCCTAGCATAGTAAAGTCTCATCCCTTGTTGTGAAAACACTTCAAGAACACAAGTTTATCGTTAATAATCATTTTACCGAAAATGAAATTCTAGGGTTCAGACCTGTCTCGTTTCCCCATCCCCTCAACAAATGTTTTTATCGTTGTGGTCAATGCATCCATCCTTTCTATTGTTATTTATTGTTCTGTTTTCTGATAAAAGTACTTTGTTGTCTTGGTTATCTCTTGATCGTTATCATCAACGATCAGGTTCATAAATGTTATTCATACAAGCTGATAAATAATGCAGCCCTATTCCGCTTAATATTTGTGTGTAAATGTTTATACACAGTGGTAGAAAAAAAGTGACAAATCGTTCTATACCTTATCACTTTGATATCGATATGATTTACAAAGGGGTCAAATGCGTTCATGTGTGTCTGTGTATCATTAACTCGAAATATACTGGTGTTTGGATGTGTATGCATGTTTAAAAAGTGTTATTTTTCGTGTGTAGAGAATTTCATGATGAATCTTCAGACTGTGATATGACTGACCACAACATGAATCCGGCTAGTCTAATACATATTTTCAAAATGCAAGGAATACAAGATATTTATATTGCCATATTTAATTTAAATAAACTATGAGCACGAAATCGATAGGATATCACTTATGAAATCTCGAGTCACTAAGTCAACTGTGTTCAGTGCTTTCACATGGCCACGCGTATACAGCCTCTGCCAGGGAAGTCCTGCTCACCGCCTTCTCGTGGCGGGGGTGTTGTTTACGAAAATGAGAGGACGGAAAGCGAATGCCCGGCGCTTTAACCGGATCCCAAATCAATGGTGCACATGGGCTCCAGTATCCTGCGGGAACAAATGACGTATGAACCAGTTGTTGGTTATCGTCTTCCACGGGACTGCATCTCCATACGATGCTCCACTGCCTTGTGGATCAGACCTTCAGGTCGAATGCTCGGGGGGTTGGCCCCCTAAGAAAACCACCTGCTTCGGTTTGGGCACCCGGGCAGTATACAGCCCTCACACATATCGAATGAGAATTGTGTGGCGCATATGTATTTGGTGCCTCCTTGTACCAATACCTATGTGTTAAAATAATAATTAGATCACTGCTGTCATCATTCATAGATTTCGTGATCACTGGAGCAAAGTTATGTCTAAATTTGATTCTCGCCAGAAATGAAACTGGTTAATTTTTTCATTTCATCACAACGTAACCTGTGGATGGCAACTTAGGGATATGATGGTAAATCTTTATTCAAAAGACCTAGAAATCCTATTTTTGCCTCATGGGTAACTACTTCTGAGAATCTACAGTCTAGTACTTAACGTTTATGTATTCATAGTTCTAAGTTCACTCCAACCATATTAAGCTTATAGTACAGTGATCTTGACGAAAGCTCTAGATCGATTTCCAGACTGTCATTTATCAATCTTTTTGCTTGAAAAATTAAATGATCCATCTCCTTAAAATGATGTCATTACTTCTAGACAAATTTTACAGAGTTACTGTGGAGGCGACGGGTTATTTTGTTTGCGAATGACTTAAATATTATTATAACTGCTAAGCTAATTAATCAACTCTTCAAATGAGACAGACTATATGCATTAGAATTGTAGATGCGACTTATACACTATCGGTAATTTTTTATGACAGTGTTAATACGCCTTATGAATATGGTGAAAGCTGGTCAAAATCACTCTTCAAATTATTAGTCATTTTGAATAAATTATTCTTATTATTATAGTTAAGGAGCTTTTGTATTAAATTTTCATCCCTAGATAGTTGAGATAAATTCTCGTCAATGAATATTACTCATGTTGAATCAATCACAATTTACAGTTTTAAATTTGTTTGTCATTCAATATCATAAAAATAAAACTTACTAAATGTGAGTAGTCATCAAGATATCTATTTAGAATAGTTTTAATGCATCAGTGACTAGAATACTCCAAGTTGTTTACATAGCATGATTATCTACAGTATTCATAACAATTATATGAAGGCCATTCATCAACAAAAGTACTATATTATTAGTGTACTTTAGTTACCGATACAGGTCTCATAGTTAGATCATAAACATTAAGTCAATAATATGCGCCATTCTTACCCATCATTATTTGTGAAGTTTATCACATTAGTCGATATGATAATCTATTAGTCAGTGGACTGATAGTTGCAGACACAGTTTCATTAAATCGAACTTTATGTCCTGGCATACATCTCGGCATCATGGATAGTTTATCGCTTCTAGTGATAGCGAACCCATATGGGTAAAATTTCAAATTTTTAATTGAACTTCAGATTGGCGCTTGGAATACCAACCATTGTATCGTATTACCTGGTTTACAAAAGCAGGTGAATTATCGGATTTACAGACGGTAATTAATACTTGGTACAACTAAAGATTATATACCGAATGTATAATTTAGTCTAAAGATAGCAAATATACAATTTACAATGTGGTATCTAAAGTTAAATATTTAGGAGACTTATCATAAATCCATTGTCCCAAGTCAAAGACGTCTTTACTACTGTAGTGGATCTTTCAGATAGCAATTTTCTAAATCTAAAAATAAAAGTCTCATAGTTTATATTCTCTTATTATAACTTCAAAATACTTATACTTTTTGAAGTAACTGTTAACAGTAAAAAAATCTCATTCACATTAATAAAAGTAGTAATATTAGTAGTAGGGCGTTCCTGTGAAAGCAATTTCATATGTCGGCGTTTAAGTTATTTCTTATTTTACAGAAGAAATTGCTCGAAGTACACTGATCAATAAACACTTTAAAAATAATTATGGCGGTTAACGTTTTATTTGAAGAATTATTGTTATTACACTTTGTTTTAATTATTTACTTTTGCCGTCTATTTGTTAAATAATTAATAGTTGCCCAATTAATCAGGAAGCAATATAAAGGAAGCTTGTGGATTTATATGCATATATTCCATTAATTTTCGTTTAGAAATTTCAAATACGATAGTAAGAGTAATGCATTCAATGAAATTCTGGTTGTATTGTAAATATTGGTAATGAGAAATGTATTATTGCTTGTTACATTGATGAAACTCACTAGATAAGACCAGGTTACAGTACTTGATTTTGATTCATATCCTTTTATATGAGGATTAATAATGCTAGAGTCTACTCAAACGCAAATTGATTGAACAGAATTTGAAGCTTTGACCAAAAATGTTTTAAATTCAAATACTTCAACCTTGAAACTATTACTTCAACAAATTTTTGTTGTAAACTTATCAAATAGTATTTCAACTGGACTTTAGAAGTTAAACAAGATTTTAAATGTAATAGTATCATGATTTTTCATGTTATTCTTAATATTTGTCATCTTTTCAGATTGTTACTTCTCCATTAAATAATATTTCTATCTATCCATTACTTCCATCTTTTTTTCTCGCTATGATCGCGTGACTTTAGGCAAACATTTCAATGAATTTAATAAATGATAAAACAAACACAGTCACAAGACTACAATTTGTGAGAAAAATATTTCTAGAATGATTGAAAATTAAAGTGTACTCAACAGTTCTTTTTCTTATTAATGTTTTTTTTGTAAGTCGAATCCTAGCATTGCTCATCAGTATAGAACTAGAAACCTTATGCAAATCAATACAAGGAATTAGAGGCTTCATAGACATATTGTTCATGTATTTAAGATTACCAACTTATTGATTTTATTTTATGAGAAGTTTAATTTATAAGAAATGAAAGTCTTTGATTAGTTGTTCCTTAATCATTAACTCTCATGGCTCAACGTGTGAATATCACTCATTTAACTGATAGCGTTATGAGACGTTCATTAAAGTCCTGTCCAGCTCACCGGATGAATCCTTAAACGTGGTGAAATATAGATTTCTGGTTCCATTGTAAATTGCCAACCGATACCGTTTAATTTATTTTCTTGTTGCTATCGTTTTTATCCATCCCGGAGATACCAGATTTAATCTTACCAAGCCAGTTAATCACTATCGATTTGATTAATTATCATTATAAGATACAAATGTG